GACAGCTTCCTGTGCCTATTACCTAATCTCAGTGGCATGTTATGTAGAAACTCCACAACCGGGCCACCACCTACCTTCCCAATCTCCACTTTCCCCACACACATCCAACTTTCTAACCATACCAGTTCATTCATTCATCATTCACTAACGTGTGCCATGTGTCCCTCATTCAGGCTCCAGTCAGAACACTAGTAAATTCTAAGGTGCTGAAATACATTCCAGGTTTTTCTGTTTGTTTGTTTGTTTGTTTTTTCCTACTTATCTCTTAAAGAAAATATATTCCTCTAATTCATGAGATTATTAATCCTGGGCTGTTTGTTTGTTTGTTTGTCTTTTCCTACTTATCTCTTAAAGAAAATATATTCCTCTAATTCATGAGATTATTAATCCTGGGCCACATCTGTTCCTTGTATATTTATTAAATTTCTCACAACCATCAAAATCAACTAGTACATTATTTAAACCATGCAAGGTATTTCAACTGAGAATTTATTAAAGGAAATGGTTAAACAGGTATTTGAGAATTTAAGAACGAGAACAGAACACTGAAGTAACTCCAAGAGAGTAAATGTATAATCAGGAAGCAGCCATCCCTCTGGGGCTAAGGGATTAGAGGAAAGAGAATGGGATTATCAGAAACTAAAAGTTTGGGCCAGATATCCCATAGACCCAGGACCTGCATCTCTGGGGAGGAATAATGCCTGGCTGCTGTTAGCACCTCTGAAAGACTGAGCAGGGGCCCCTTGGAGCTGGAGTTCTCAACCCTTTAGGGAAGAGATGCTGCCGGGCTGGTGCAGGAACCGCTAAGGGTCAAATGAAGCTGGTTCTGAATAAAGCTGAGCACTGGAACCAAATGTCACTGTTGGGATGAAAGGCCATTTCTAATACTGTTAGGCACAGCCATCAAAGAGGAATAAAGAAACCTCTTCTTTCTTTCTCTTACCTTTTCTGCCCTCTGTAGTGTTCCATGTTGGTGGACTCCAGAAGACAGTTTGCAGGGTTCTGCCTCAACATCACAAGAGTTGATTTAGAGCTGAGAGACAATTCCATAATAACCAACACAATGCATTTCCCATCTCCTTGCCTTTACTCATACAGTGTCCTCATTCATAACATTTTTTTCTACCAATATCTACCTGATATATGCCTTTGTGCACATACAATCTCTTTTCTATAATAATCCCTAATCTTCCTCAAAGTAATTATTTACACTGTCATTTGAGTTCCCCTAGCAGTTTGCAAATACTTCCTTTGTAGTCTTTTTATATTGTATCATAATATCTCCATATATATCTGTTTATTTTCTGCCAAACTCTGAGCTCCTTTAGGGCAGTTAGAGTTACAACCATAAAATCTAGCAGGATGCCTGGTATGAAACAGATGTTGATTAAGCTGGATGAAATTGATAAGGGCAGCTTAATGAAATTAATATTAGATAATGTCTTGTATATATTTTATATTACCAACCAGATTTAGACTCCATAAGAGCAGAGATCATGCTTTATATTTCTTTTATTTTCTTCATGGTGTGTAGTACAAGATTTCATATGCTGAAGAAGAGCTCAATGATATTTGTTAACCACCTAGTTTGTTTNACAGATGTTGATTAAGCTGGATGAAATTGATAAGGGCAGCTTAATGAAATTAATATTAGATCATGTCTTGTATATATTTTATCTTACCAACCAGATTTAGACTCAATAAGAGCAGAGATCATGCTTTATATTTCTTTTATTTTCTTCATGGTGTGTAGTACAAGATTTCATATGCTGAAGAAGAGCTCAATGATATTTGTTAACCACCTAGTTTGTTTGTTAACCACCACAATTTTGGTTCAAAATGGCATAAAGATGGAGCATGAGTTTATGAATAGCAGGTAAGATCAGTAGTTAGGTTGAGATTTGCTTCTAGCACATGATTCCAGCAGTACAGAGCTCTGTGTATATGCTAAAGTTCTGTATTTGCTGGAAGAATAGCACAATCAAAAGACCAAATGTGTTTTAACTAGTAAATTGTAAAGAAATGAAATACATTCCAGGTTTTATTTTTTCTATTTATCTCTTAAAGAAAATATATTCCCCTAATTCAAGAGATTATTAGTCCTGGGCCACATCTGTTTCTTGTATACTTATTTAAATATCTCACAACCATCAAA